GTTGCTCCCTGGCAAGTTTGATTCGGCTCAAAGGTGGTTTACAGAGTACCAGCCATGTCCGGCGCTTCAGTGACGAGGACTTCCGTGGCACCTTCCTCCAGGTTCAGCTGCATAAGCCCTTGAGCGCCTTGACCAGCCCTGGTGGCTGTCCCAACAGGAGGCCATGCACAAGCCACCACCCCCCGCCCCCATGCCTGGGAGGCTCTGGACCCTCATGTCCCCGTTCTTGCTTTCCCATCCATCCTTTGAGTCGCAGCTTAAATGGTGGCCCCTAGAGAAGCCCCCATGACCCCCGAGACTGGGCTAGGTGCCCCTGCTCCATCCTCCTCCAATCCTCCTATTTCTCTTATTTTTTTTTTTTGAGTTGGAGTCTCATTCGGTCGCCCAGGCTGGAGCGCAGTGGCCGCTCCCGGTCACCGCAGTCTCGACCTGCTGGGCTCCGGCGATCCTTCCGCCTCAGCCTTGCGAGCAGCCGGAATTACAGGCGCACGCTAACAAACACACTCTTGGAATGGTACTCATTTCATTCATATGCTGGGGACTCCTGTACAATATTATTAACTATAGCCCTCACGTTGCCCGGTAGATCTCTAGATTTGTTCATCCGTTGAGTATCTGCCACTTTGTATCCTTTAAACTACGTCTCTCCATTACCTCCCTCTCCCCTTCCCCCGCCCCTGATAACCACAGTTTTATCCTCTGTTTCTGTTTCTAAGTTATTTGACATTTTTGGATTTAGATTCCACATAAAATTGAAAGGGTCAGCTTTATAAATACTCATGATTGTGCTGTGCTTTACTACTGTGCCATCTTCAGTTGTAGCACTTCTGTGCTTGCTTCTGAACTAATTGGTCCTGGACTGCCTCTGTGCTTTTGTAGCTCTAATTGCACTCCTAGGATTCCAGACGTCAGCACTATCCTTTCTCTTTATTCTTATTTGAGTTCAGTAAATGAAGTTGTGACTGACAATAGAGTTCTCTGAGCAGTCAACATTCTGGTCACTCACTAGAAAGGTGTAGTTTGACCTTGCAAATTTCTGAGTTAGCGTTACTATATGTTAGTGTCTTATGAGTTTGATTCCTGTAACTCAAGAGCAGGGGCCCTGTTATAGAGGGTAAGGCCAGGCTGAGGTTATACAAGTTCACTTCCCTTGAGGACCTTCCTTAAATAGCCAGCCAGCCTCCAACTACAGCATCCCTTACCATGTTGCTAACTTCAAAAACTTGTCTGACAAGCAAGCAGATCCCTGAAGCCTGTCAGTCAGCCACCAGCACTCTTTAGATGCCACTGCCACCCATCTGAGGCAAATTATGCCAAGTTTGAGCTGAGTAAGAAGTTTCGTGACTGAAAGCAGTAGAGCATAGTGGTAAGAGCGTGGGCTCCAGTGTCCCCTTCCCCATGTTGCAGCTGTGTGACCTCTGTAAGGCTCAGCTCCCCTATTACTCTGAGAGAACTTAATCCATCAGAATATTGTGAAGAAAAACACAGATAAAGCCCTTAGCACCAGAATCATTCAGTAAACACTGACTGTTGTTGCCAAACTCAGCCCTACCTAGGGTATCGATGACTGCTCCGATCTCAGCTGCTCTAATCATTCCTGTCCTCTGAGTACTGATTTTTTTAACCCCGTATCATCCCCCACTATATTTCTATGAATAGTAGGATTTCAAGGTTAGAGGTCTATTCAAAAAAGGCAAGTTCTGGCCAGGCGCAGTGGCTCACACCTATAATCCTGGCACTTTGGGGTGGAACTGAGGCAAGAGGATCACTTGAGGACAGGAGTTCAAAACCAGCCCGGGCAACATAGCAAGACCTCATCTACATACCTGTGGTTCCAGTTGAGCCCAGGAGGTTGAGGCTGCTGTGAACCATGATCGTGCCACTGCACTCCAGCCTGGGTGAGAGAGTGAGACACCAACTCAAAAAAAAAAAAAAAAGGCACATTCTTGCCCATAAACAAAGAAGTAACAGACAGCTTTAAGCAGAGTTACTCATAATTTAAAACTTTTGTCTTTCAATTGGTGCAAGCATCCCTTTATTCACAATTTTAAATCTATGGAGGGTCAGGGAAGTTAAAACATGCCCCAGCTTTTCTTTATACTTTCCATTCCGCATGCTTGAAGATAAGACTCAAATTTGTGATGCTAAACGTCTGACCTAGGCAGTGTTGGAAGTTGCTCTCCCCAGACTTATAAATTACCTTTGTAGAATTAAGGTTATCCTCACCATTTTTGGTATCCTCACCATTTTGATTCATAGGTTACTTTAAACAAAAATCCCTCTTGAAACAGCCAAAGCATGTCAGGGAGGTGGGGGTAGAATGGGACTTCCAGCCAGTTCACTGGTATTTCCTAACCTCTCACAGCATTTTCTTCACCTAGGCCTCAGCCTTACTAAAGATCAGTCTTGGCTTATTGAGTGATACAGAAAATGGGTTTATTAGAGGAAGGATGATGCCTTTGTCAACCTGACCTAATAAGTTTATAGTTAAGTTTAATAACAGCCTATCAGAGCTGACCCTGGTCACTTAAGGAGGGAAGGGTGAGAATGAAGTCAGGGTTGAAGCTAGGCCCAAGTGTCAGCTTTTGGGACAGAAATTACCTTGAAAACTTCACAGCAGCGCCATC